AAATTAGTTCAACCATTGTGGAATGCAGTGTAGCAATTACTCAAGGATCTAGAACCAGAAATACCATCTGACTCAGCAATTCCATTACTGCGCATATATCCAAAGGAATGTAAATCATTCTATTATAAACATACATGCACACATTATGTTTATGCAGCACTATTCACAATAGCAAAGACATGGAACCAACCCAAATGTCCATTAATGATAGACTGGATAAAGAAAATGTGGTACATATACACCATGGAATACTATGCAGCCACAAAAAGGAATGAGATTATTTCCTCTGCAGGGACATGGATCAAGCTGGAAGCCATCATCTTCAGGAAACTAACACAAGAGCATAGAAAACCAAACACCACGTTTTCACTTGTAAGTGGGAGTTGAACAATGAGAACACATGGACACAGGGAGGGAAACACCACACACTGGGTCTGTTGGTGGGGGTCGAGGGGAAGGAGAGCATCAGGGCAAAAATAGCTAGCTAATGCATGTGGGGCTTAAAACCTAGGTGATGGGTTGGTGGGTGCAGGAAACCACCATGGCACACGTATACCTATGCAACAAACCTGCATATCCTGTACATGTATCCTGGTACTTAAAGTAAAAAAATAAAAATAAATTTAAAAAGAAAAATAATTTCTCTCAAAAGAAACTAGTGAGTACCTGGATTACTTCATTTAAACAAACCAAAATGCCTTTGAAAAAATTATTATTAGCCCTATTTTACAAATGAGGAAATCTGTAAAATTCAGCAAGGTTATATAGCTTGTCCAGCGTCACAGAAACCGAAGCAGGTATGGGACTGGACTTGGGTCCATTTGACTCAAAATCTCATGATTTGTTCAAGATGCCACCCTGTATTTCCTAGTTGCCCCCTGCAGTTTCTGTGGGTTTAATAAAAGCAAGGGCTATACAAAGAACCGTTTTGTTTTCTTTATAAAACATTGGCTAAAAGATTTATCTATAGCTTACATTACTCAGTATTTTGTTTATAAGATTCCGGAAGCCAAATTTTCTATTAGATTCCAGTGCCAAAAGAAGTTACTTTCCTCAAAAGAAATTATATTCAACCATTTGTTCACTTGTGCTAAAAAGTGAGATGGAGACAAACATGGATCCATATGGTCCCTACTCTAAAGTAGTTGTAAGGGCCAGATGTGATGGGCTCACGTCTGTAATCCCAGCACTGTGGAAGGCCAAGGCAGGAGATCACTTGAGTCCAGGAGTTCAAGATCAACCTGGGCAACATAGTGAAACCCCATCTCTACAAAAAATTTAAGTATTAGCTGGGTATGGTGGCTCACAACTTAGTCTTAGCTACTGGGGAGGCTGAGGCAGGAGGATCACTTGAGCCCAAGAGGTGGAAGTTATGGTAAGCTGTGATCGTGCCATTGTGCTCCAGCCTGGGCAACAGAGCAAGATCCCTCCTCTAAAAACAAATGACAAATTTTATAGACATAATACAACGTGTATTTAAATAACCATGATTTAAGGTTAAAAAGTAATGTGCTTCTCTTTAAATAATTAAACAATTAAAACAATTCATTAGATTTCCCCTTGCTTTAACTGCCAAAGCTAAGTGTTAAATTTAGTATCTAAGTGCATTTCAGGTTCCTAGAAGAGGTAACATTACTTGATTGTTTACTCTTTGACTTTATCTTCAGCTGTCCTGTTGTACATGCACGTTATCCCAATCTATCTCAAATCTTTTTGTGGAAGCAGACAAGGTACATAATAGAAACTGGCAAATAAAAAGGTTTGGATTAATAATACAAAATGAATCCAAATAATGTAAATTTTGTATTGCATGCTGCGCTATTTTTATCTTTATGCATTATATCAGAGACATTCTGAGTTGCTTAGACGATCAAATGATGCAGTATGCTAAACGTACTCTAAAAACTGGGATTCAAGAAACACTTGTGAATAGAAGCCCTAATTCTATTCTCTATTTTCCACAGACATTATACAAGCTCTTAAAACCTACATTGGATTTATATTTAGGATGTTTAAGTTGGGAAAATAGGGTATAGCTGGGTAAATAGTGTTTTCAAAGGCTAGTGCAATGTAGATAGTGTGAGTTTTGTATAGCTTCTTTGTTTCTATAGCTTTGGAGGAAGGTAGTAAAGAGCACTAGATTAACAAAAGTGGTGGCTTAGAAGCCGTACCATTACTCTGCCCTTTTCACATCCTGTGCATGGTAATTTGCTAGTGCCTCTGCAATGATATCTGCCACATCTTTAATGCCCTATGATGCATGTCATTGGGCCCTGCTGATTTAAACACATTCACTTCTTAAAGTAACTCTGGACCACTGGATTCTCCAGTCAGATTTTGCTTCCTTCCCACCCATTCAGATTTTCTAGACAAAAAGTTATCTTGTATTTTTGATGAACATAAATAAAACAGCACAAAAAGCCTTTTAAATAAACATATTGTTACCTTCGTCCTTAAGAAAGCTCTAACATTTTTGTTTTCTAATATTTGCAATAAGACAGCTCGTTAGCTGTATTAAGTAGGATCTGTTCTCCAGATATAGAAAACTAGAATACTATAATATACTGATGATAAAAGAAGAAAAGAAGGAGAAGGTGGAAGGGCACAGATACATATTACTTTTTGTCTCTTTCTCTCTTTGATCCTTTTCTTCCAACTTAAAGTCCAGGAATGGCTAGAAAGCCACTGTAATACAAAAACAATATGGTGTTAAAAAAGACAATGGATAGAACTGGCCCTTTCAAATCACTAACAAGCTGTTAAGACCTGAACAAGTAAATCTCTTTGGATCATTTTTTTACTTATAAAATAAAGAAATTAAACTAGATTCTCACTAACAGCCTCTTCATTTTAAAAATTCATGACTTCAAAGCAAAAGTTACAAAAGAATGCAATGATACCCTTGTCTCCCATAGCCCCTGCTGCACATGAGAGCTTCTACCCATTAGTGCTCTCCTCTACTGTCCTTCCCTCACACTCAAAAGTAAAATTTATATTCACAATCTTATTAAGATTAATTCACACAAAGTATGATGAAGACTTAACATTATAGAACATTTTCATTTAAAACAAAGACCTGTTAAACCACATGTATTTCTAATGAAAAGTAGGTATGAGTCACAGGGGTAGGGAAGAAAAGATAAATATCTTTAAGCAGAAAGCCTCTCAATGATGCATACTTCTGGTCCACTCCTGTCCCTCAATTACACTTCCAACTGTATTTTCTACAAAGCATAATTTATACACAGCTATAAACACCATCAAATTTCTTATTTAACACTTCATTCTCTTTTTAATGAATTGTCTCCTGCTTCTATCCTCACAACAAGGCTTCTAAAAGGTAGGAAAGCCAGTATTGCAGGACTCACAGCTGCACATCAGCCATACTTTCCCCATTTTAGGGCTTTAATAAACAAACACATATAAAATCACTGGAAGAAAAATGGAAGAAGCAAGCACATGGAGTCGGAAATGATAATGATGGAGAACAGCTGGGATTATAGCTTTTTAAGATTTGTTATGGGGAAGGAATATGAGGAAAGCAATGAAAAGTCATAAATGAAAGGGAAAACTTGGTGTCAGCTCTAATTAAAGCAATGGGAAATATGGAAATTAAGCACAAAATGAGGCCTGAATACAGCCAGGAGTTTTATCTTTCATTTTTGCGTTTGTTTTTATTTTTTAATGATACACAGTGAAGAATGAAAAAAGGAAGAAAGCTGAAAGATAATTTTAAAAAGGAAGTGAATATGGAGAAGAAAACAAAAATAGGAAATTAGAAAAACAAAATGACAGAGAAAACACGAAGGATTAAGAATAGGAAGAATAAAAGAATGTGTAACCCAATCAAGAGAGAGAGTATAAAGCATTTATAATAATGGTGGTGCACAAATGGGAAGGTAGGAATGGGAGCAGAGTGAGTTAAGAAAAAGAAACAGTAGGGCCCAGCACAGTGACTCACGCCTGTAATCCCAGCAATTTGGGAGGCCAAGGCAGACGAATTGCCTGAGGTCAGGAGTTCAAGACCAACTTGACCAACATGGTGAAACCCCATCTGTACCAAAAATACAAAAAATTATGAGGACATGGTGGTAGGCACCTGTAATCCCAGCTACTTGGGAGGCTGAGGCAGAAGAATCGCCTGAACCCGGGAGGCGGAGGTTACAGTGAGCCAAGATCGCGACATTGCACTTCAGCCTGGGCAACAAGAGTGAAACTCCATCTTTAAAAAAAAAAAAAAAGGAAAGAGAAGAGAAGAGAAAGAAAATAAAAAGAAACATTAGAAACCAAGAATGACAGAACAGCAAAGACAAGAATTCCAGAAATCCGAGCCAGCTAGGCTACAAACTAGCAGTTTGTGTCTTTTTCTTTTGCTGTTTGTTCTTTTAAACAAGAAAACAAAGTGGCAAGACACCATGATGAAAATAGTATCATCTGGAGCATGTTTTCATTAGCCATTTAAAGTGCTAGGGAAACAGAACCCAAAAAAGAGAATACAGGTGGTGAGGGTGTGGCAAATGTGACAGAAAAAGGAAGCAATAGAAAATGAGCTCAGTGGGTAGGTTAAGAGATACAGGTGGTAGGTAGTTTGTTTCAGACTACTTTAGCATACATTGGGCAAAAGAATTTCAAAGAGCAAGGAAAATATGACAAACATACCAAAGGTTAATTCAATGCAAAAAAAATTACTGAACATGTCTTTGCTGCCTCCTCCTTCACTCTACCACCTATCCTATCTAACCAGGCCCAAGTTTTACCCAGTTCTTTCTTGCTCATCTTTCAAACATATCTCCTCCTCTACCTCTTCCTAAGATACTGTAGTAGACACTGCAGGGTACACACAAGTTTGAAGGAGCAAGCTCTATCATTAGGACCTCCCAATTGAACAGACAAGGCAAACACAACATACTTATAATATGCCTTCCATAAGTATGCCAACTGAATTCTTTCTCTTTTGGCACCAAACACTTACCACTTTGTATTATCTTAATTCCTCATAGACTCTAGATCTTTAAAAATGAGGAAGACTAAAATGGACAGACATGGAAGCACTCCAGGGCAAAAGAGAGCATAAAGTAGACTCAGAGGAAGGGATAATAGCAAGTTGTTCTGTGACAAAGAGAAGATGTGATCAGCTGGACAAATGAAGACAGAGACCACTAGGCTGATACACTAAGTTTGATATAAAATGTAATTACTATTAAAACTTTTGAGGCATGATCAAATCTTTAGTTTACAAAGATTGCTCTGGTTATAGTATTCTGGGAGAAAAATAAAATGATTCAGTCTGAGAAAAACTCCACAGAACAAGTGATATTTTAGCTAGGTCTCATCGGATGAATAGAAGCCTTTTTGAGGAAGGGCTCTACAGAATGATGAAATAAAATGAAAAAAGGTATGAAAACGTAACAGGGCACCACAGATTCTGGGACAAGTAAGAGAGCCAGAGTGATTGGATAACAGGTTATTTAGAGGAAAGAGATCTCAGACTTGAAAGACAGGCTTAGGCTTTTTTAAGAGGAACACTACAGTTTCCCATTTGATTACAAATTTTATCATTTTATAAGATGGGAACTCCCCCTTATTCCTTAGAGAGTCATAACATCAAGTGGTAGGTGATTCAACAATTATTCATGATGGCAGTGCCAACATCCCTGCTCATATATTAAATGAGACACTGCCTTAGGCAGATAAAGTATCCACAATTTTACTTCAGAACATTCGGCTGCTATGCCAAATAGACAACCATTTATAGTTGTCACTTGCTCAGATCTCACAGATCAGATTTCAGTAACTTTTTCTAAACAAAACATCAAATCCAGAATAGTGCAATTGCTGTTTTGACTTTTGAAACAGAGAGGACTACTGCATAGAAAATAAAAGCCAGAATATTCATTTACAGAATGGGTGATTGTTCTACATTCTTACATTAGATCAAATAACTGAATTTTTCTGGGTACTGCACACTTAAGGACAAATCTACATCTCTGAAATCATAACACTGAGGCCGGCATTTTCATTTCCCCCCTCAAAAAAAAAGTTCACTGTGCCTTTCTTTCCAGACTGCACCCCATCACTCATCACAAGCTAGCATCAAGTGCTTTATATAACAACATTTTCAATAAATGTGAACTCGGTTCTTCTTATACTTTGTTATAACTTCCTGTGTCTTTGACATATTCAAGAAGTGAAACTCATGCATAGCATGTTTATATTATTCCCTCCTTAGCAAAAGCTCACAGACAATGTCAGGTCTGAAGAGATAAGAGCTGCTTCCAGGACATGAATTCTCATGAGGATTAGGCAACCACCATCTGGGGCTCCAGAGTTTATCTGTAGCAGCTGCCTTCAAAGTATCATACTAGAGGTTGGGGGCATGGGGGAAGTCTAATTTTAAAGTGTTTAACAAGTTCCTCTACCTTGGCTTTGATTATCATTCTGGATTGTTTTTCTACCTTATAAAAATAAAACATAGTGACCTTTTCTTCATAACACACAAATAATTTAAAAGAGCACTATGTATTCAAATGATAAACTCAACATGCACTCAAATGTTTAACATAACAAATTTTAATCATTTTAATAATTATTAAAATACTATCCAATACCTAATGTTGTCATTAATACAAGCTTTATCCTTCACACAAAAAAGTGTATCTCCCAATTTATAAAATTTCTACTTAGAAGGCTACAGATTAAAACAATATCCTAGATATTTTGTGAGTGTTTTTAATATGTCCTCAAATGACATTAAAATAGTAACACCAAATTTTATTAAACAGAAAGCTTTTTAATCAAATATTTATATAAAAAACAGGAAATCCAAAAATGAACACTGGAGCAAGAAGTTAATTTTAAATGCGCAGATTTAAATAATAATCTGCTAAATCTAATTAAATTAACTTTTATGGTGCTAAAAATGGTCACAATGAAACAAAGAAAAACAAAATAGAAAAATAAAACAAAATATTCTCTATAAAGAATAGGTTCTACTGTAAGTAGTCCCAAAATTGCTGCACCACTAAAAATAGTGTCTTTTTCTTTGCATCAGGTCTCCTTCCATTTCAAATATTCTCTTTTATCTGCCATAAAAATCGAAAGTTATATTTGTTCATTTGAACAACCTGTGACAAAGGACTTACTATCAAAATTAAGTAGACACAATTATTGTTAGTTCCATCAGAGATATGGCAAAATGGCTGCATCTATAATAAACAGCTTTGTGACGAAGTACGGTTCACTCTTTCATTATTCATTCAAAATACAGAGCAAGCCTATTTTTGTACTGGACAGAGTAACTCAGAGAAACAGAAGGCAGAAGTTTGAGTGTACCGAAATCATAAAACTGGTGCATTATTTGATTTCTGGGATTTTCATTCCATGTCCAAAAAATTACATATTATTTCTATGTCTGGATTTGACACAAACATTCTAGACTTATTTTTTGAAGTATCCTTATAATTCCTTCACCAAAATCAAATACAGAAAATTCAAACTCCACACATCTAAAACTAAACTGGACTGGGCCCTTCCTTTCAACTTCCCTATTGCTATCAGTGGTTGAATTATTTTTAAAATCACACAAACTTACAATCTCTCTTCTCTCCATTAATATTTTTAACAAGTCATTAAGTCCTGGTGACTACCTTCAAAATTATTTTATTTACTTGCACTAATACCATTACCAACCTAGTATAAGTTGCTCCTCAAACTTTGGACTAAATTACCAGTTTTGTAGGTAGTGTCTCTTCCAGCTGATTCATATTAAATCACTACCACATTAAGTTATAATAAGTCTTTACTATATTAAAGATGCCTCCCAAAACAATTTGCTCAAACTGTTCTCCCTATCTATTCTTCTGGTTTACAATGCCTTTCCTTTTCCTCCACATATTCAAATTCTCCCTTAACCAGATTCTCCAGGATTCACAAGCAATTGTTTCCTTTTTCATGACACATTTCATATTCACCCCAGGACAGTCATCTTCCCCCTCATTAAACTGCTACATTAGAGGCAAAACAGACTGGTTTACATGATCACAGCACAAACATGGCTTATGAGTGGTATTTTTCATATATTTAAAGAAGATAAGAAAAGAATAAACAAAAAAACCTTATTTTGTAGTTTCTTCTGCAACGTTCCTAGTGGCGAATTAAATAACAGATTTTTGTTTAATTAATTTATCAAATATATGATTTAGGCATTTAGGTGTACAAAGGGATATACTTATAAGGGATCTGCTGTTATAAAAAAAAAAATCTGGCCAGGTGCAGTGGCTCACACTTGTAATCCCAGCACTTTGGGAGGCCGAGGTGGGCGGATCTCTTGAGGTCAGGAGTTCGACACCAGCCTGGCCAACATGGTGAAACCCCATCTTCACTAAAAATACAAAACTAACCAGGTGTGGTAGTGCACACCTGTAATCCTAGCTACTAGGGAGGCTGAGGCGTAAGAATCGCTTGAACCTGGGAGGTGGAGGTTATAATAAACGAAGCTCGTGCCAATGTACTCCAGCCTGGGCAACAGAGCGAGACCCCATCTCAAAAAAAAAAAAAAAAAAAAAAAAGAGAGAGAGAGAGAATCCAAGAAATCTGAGCTCTTGTTCTTCTATACTCAAGAGAGAGTAGGCAGTGACAATGATTTCAACAACATACAAGAACATCCTTTGGATAATTTGTATATATAATAACTGTTCGTAATATAATATCAGCTACTCTTCTATAAACAGGATTTTTCTCTTAAATTCCTTCTATTTGTTAGAGATTCAATTTGTTACTCAAGCTGTGGATTTATGGGATTTACATCCTTAAAACGAATTCCAGCATAATTTCACACAGAAGCCTTCTTGAAGTTAACCAGGACACCACCCAAGTAAATCTTCCCTTTAAAAAGAATAAATGCAAAAAAAGAAAAATAAAAAATAAATGCTCCATAAAAATCATCAATACACCACTTAAGCTTAAGGTACAATATCTGTGCAACACCAAGCTCTACCCCAATCCTCCAAGTACCTCTAGAGTCTGTATTAACTCCACACACTCTCTATTACCTATTTACACGTTTTCCCAGTATCATTACTCCAAATAATTCCATTCCCTACACTAAATCCGCTGTTTCATCCTGCTTGACTCTCTACCTATATTATCTAAGAGTCTTGCTCTTGAGTTGCAAGGCTGTTGCTACTTAACTGTACATTGACCTACCACTTACTATGTATAAGTAAACTCTAAAGTCTCTTATAGGGCCTCTGTATTATCTCTTAAATCACAGTGGAATCAAGTAATCCAATTTGAGTTTTAACCATTATCTAATTTTCTATTAAAAATACTAACTCAAAAAGAGAATTATTCTTTAATATACTGAAAGGCCACTATCATAGCATAGCAGGTATCCAATTTTTTAGAGCCTTATTTTCAATATATCCACATTTGTATGAAAACTTCACCCTAAGTATAAGATTAGTCAGAGTACTTAATTGTGTGGGATAGGAAAGTTAAGTGCCAGAGAGGAGTTCAAAGAATATTAGCAATGTCTGAGTTTGAATGTAAGCCTGAAAATCATAATGAAAACGCTGCAAGAAGGGGCTAGGCGTTCAAACCATAATTTTGAAGATGAGGATATCAGGTTACGAGGGTCGCACAGGCCAAGTTTCATGGAAGAGATGAGATTTCAGGTGACTCTGATGGATTTGCACTGATTAGGAAAGAGGGAGAAAGAAATTCCTAAAGGCAGATAAATTTTTCCTTGGTAGATATATGCCCAGCTTTTGCAGTAAGAGCAGGCCAGGATTACCTCTTCCTTGCTGAGGATAGACAGTGCATATAAACTGCATTAATTGGTGGTAGCTCATATAAAACTGTATTTAAAACAACAGAAAATTCAACAACATAAACAGGCTATGATAAACACAATTTTTTCTTTTTTAAAAATGACTACTAGATTTTTCTCCGGGCTGTAGACCCTGGCAGACCACAGTACAGTGGCAGGCAACTTATATCTCTTGGAAAATTTCCTTTTCTGCAATCATTTAAACAATTTTAAAGAATGTTTTACATAAAATATGGGACAATTATTGGTCTGAGACAGAAATAAAACTTTCTGAACATCTTTCTTTGGCCTGATGGATGTCAAAATGCAGTAAAATTTTCTATTGTAGGAGAATTTTAGTTAATAAAAATAAATTTATTACAATGTCTGATTTACACAGTACAAAAGTGTACTAAT